GCCATATGCTGTGACCAGTTAGGGGTGCGGGCAGTGGGACAGGACAGAAGCCACACTACAGAAGAGAACCAGAGATTAATGATTAAATGCAGCCTGGTGTATCAACTCTTAGGAAGTGAGAAGAGGTGAGTGAAGAAAAAAGTGTATCATGGGACACCATGAAAACAATTCATCTGATTTCCAGTGATTCAACTTGTCATTTTAATGCAGTAATGTAAGTTTTTACAACTTGACAAAATGTTGTCTCTGTTGAATGTGTTTACAGATACAACAAAATGCCCTGCTTTTCTAAATGTATCAAATGGGGAAAATTAAAAAAAATGTCCTATGCAGTGTATTGAATGCCTAACATCTAACAACTCGTACAATAACTCATTCTTTCAAAAACACAGGAAGTCTCTGCAAGCTAATCAAGGCCATGGTGCATGTGTGAATGCTGCACAATGGAAGAAGTGTGGCATGCAAAGATGAGAAAAATGTTATCTTATGCATCAGCATCAGCCATGTGAGAAAGTCCTGCTGTTTACAAAAAATGCACCCAAAACGGACTGGCAGATGAAACAAACAGAAAAGACAGTCTAACCACAGATAATTTAACAGAAAGGAACACCCGAAATTTAAAACTGTAAAAGCAGAAATACATGATGAACAATCAAAGAAGAGAAAAACTGACAGAGAGAGGCATTTCTATTTATACACATTAGAAACAGTTAGAGTAAAGCAAAGAATAGCATGGCAGGAAACAGAAAAACTGACGATGCACTCTTACAGAGATGCTTTGGTTCATGCATTCTTGCTGTTTCTGTTTCATGCAGGCTTTATGAATGCAGACAGCAAAATGCGAATGTGAATTATATGAAAATATGAATTCATCAGTAAGGCTGGAATATCACAAATTTTATCAGTCACAAAAGTGAAAACAGTTTGATCTGAGTACAACAGCTTAGCCTCCAATCTTATAAAACTGGACAGACTTTGGATATTTTCCTTAAAGCTGAGATGTTGATCATAAATAATGCCCAGGTTTCAATCAGATTGTTTTGTGTATGTCATTATTTGTTCAAAGTAGGGAGTGTGTGTGTTTGGGGGGTGTTAAGTTAAGTTGTAAGATGATAATAGCAGACACCTGTGTACTTACGTATGTCTTATTATAGATTACTCTCAACTAAAATGTTTTTCATAAGGACAGGCAAAGCAGCATTGTTTTGTTTTTTGTTTTGTTTTTTACCCAAAATCAGATGTTTATATAATAAATGTTTGCCTTTCATTATCTTAAACAGCTGCTCATTAAGTAAAAGTAAAAGTAACTTAGCGATGGGGCGGTAGTTATGGACTAAGCCAGACACAGAACCACGAAGGAGGGAGGAATGGGGATTCAAGGAATAACACAAACCAGACTAAAACCAAGAACAGAAATAAACAAGAGAATTAAAACCTGAAAATACAAATATAAAGAAATACACCAGAATAGGCTGCTCCAAGAAAGCACCCTTAACCAGAAACCCTTAACACTCTCCAAGAAAACCCTGAATGCAACACCCATAAAACTAAGAAACAAGACAAATGTAAATATAATATATGCAGAATATAGAATCATGAAACAAAGATAATTAAAAATACAAAACTAGAAAAACATCCCAAAACTCCTAAACCAAGACCCAGGGACCATGTTTAGCCAGATTAGTTCATTAATTTTTATGTGGCCTGACTTTGTGAATATGTGCTCTGACTGACGTCCATACAATCGTTTAAATTGCGCTTAAAAACTCACTTGCTTAATCTAGCCTTTGAAGCAAGTTAGTTCAGACTTCCACCTGGTCTGCATTTGTGCTACATAACTGTAACTGTTGCTGTAACTATAACTGTTTTTGTTGTCTTTTGTTGTAACCTGCATTGCGGCACTTTTGTGAAGCACTTTGATGGACACAGGTCCTTTTTAAATGTGCTATAGAAATAAACATTAATTGATTGATGTATTCCTTATGACTCTTTTAGGGTGCGCCTAGAACCTTAGCAGGCCTTTTGGAGTGCAATTCATTTGTCAAATAGAGACAAAGCAGACAGGGCATACACTGGTATGTCAAATTTCTGGCCAGCATGTCAGATTATGATAAAATGGCATTTGGTTCGTGTTCATTGGTTTTACACATCATGCAGGTTTCAAACTGAACCCAAACTTCCTTCCTCTTTAAATACTTTATGCATTTATAAACTATAGGTGTCTGAACAAGTTAGTATTTTACATTTGAAAAATTGTAAAATACTAACTGAAAAACTATAAAAATTTTATGTCTGCTGCCCTCTAGTGGTTGAACTCTTCACCTTGCAGCAGTGACATGCAGCCTTGTTCACTCAACACCTTTCACTCAAGAATTGTGCTTTTAAATCAGTCTTGCTGTTTACTAAATCTCACTTTGCATAGAACACATTCTTTCGGGTAACCAATGAAAAATCAGCACATGCTGACTTCACAACGTCACTATGAATCCAAACAATTTGGTGGACTCCTAATTGCAGGAGCCCTCTTCACTCTTTCTGCTCTTTAGCAGTTAGAGACATGGCCACGAGATGGAGCCATTATCATAACTCATCATTTCAATAACTGCTTGTGCTTTCAATATAACAGTCTCTACTGTTAAGGGATGATTTAATCACCTGTTCTGAGGTTCATGCAGGTAGTGGTAATATTGTATCCTGTTACTCTGTTTCACTTTGTAAATATGTTTTACACATTTTTTTTTTTTTTACAAAGATTGCAGTTGTCGCTTCTGGATGATCATTCATCTGAGCTCAGTTCATGAAATGGTTAAAACGCAACAAAAAACATTTGAATATATTTCTTGCCCAAGTTGTGTCTGTGCGTGTTTGTGTGTGTGTGTAACAGGTTACAGTTTTGGCTTGTTTAGTGCCCAGCCATAACATTGCGAAGAAACAAGAAGTGTCTGCTAGTTACTGCAAGTGTCACATACACAGATTCTAGGTCTGACGAACAGTCTCAGTTGTGGGCAAAAGACAAAAACCAGTAAAATTCTAAAATGTGTTTCAATACTCTAAATGCTAAGATCAACAGGAAACAGTGGAACCAATATATTGTTGACACTTAAAAACTTTTCTTGAGTATTGAGCATCTCAAAATAGTTTAGTTTGTGTGATACCACATGTATGCAGTTTGATTGTCAGTCAGGTTACAGCTGGTGCTACAAATCACAATGTTGAAGAAGCTCTTTGAATGTGAACCTCTTTTGATACGAGATGAATACACTTCGTGTTTTTTATAATAATACTGTAATATACTAATAATACTGTGTGCGTCTATTGTAATTAAGTGAATGACTGGTGTTGTGATGCAGTGGGTGGCAGATGTGCCCCAAAACTGACTCATCCGTACACACTCACAGTGTCACAGTCACACCCACAGTGTCTGTCAGACATGATTTATGTATAACTCACTCACTTACTGCACATAATGTCCTCTTTGTTTAATAATCACTCACTGTATATACTGTTCTCTCTGTTTTTGCACAGTCGAGGAGCGTATCAGGTAACATTTCACTGCGTGTTGTACTTGTATAACTATGCACGTGACAAATAAAGAATCTTGAATCTTGTGGTGTGGGAAATCTTGAGTGATCCTTTTCTAACTTCCTATAGGGAAGCTAACTGAAAAGGTCTCCAACTTAAAGACTGGTTGACATCCAGTGGATTTTCTGAGAATAACATATCAAAACAAAGTGGTAGAAATAGCTTCAAACAGTGTTAAGTTCATTTCAGTGCATGTTATACAATGTTGACGTTTGGCCTTTTCTCTTGGTGAATATATGCATTTATGTCTATTCTTATTACAGGACTCGTGAATAATCACTGATACCTGAGATATAAAAGATGACAGCCACAAACAGAAAGCCTGTATCTCTCAATAACATGATTTTTTTGTCCAAACCTTTGGTGTAAAGATGACAGTAAGTGCACAAAACACAAGAGACAAAGTCACTCACCATTCAAACTAAGAAGTACTCTCTGTCAGTCTGAGGGATGAGGTAGATAACATGAATGTTTCATATTTACTGGTTGTGCAGCTTGGACACTAAAACCAAACGTCCTTCCTCTTTCTTTAAATCTTTAGTATTCTTGCATGCTATGTTGTACCATGAAAACATATTAAACTACGTTCAGTCACTTCCCATATAATAATGATGATTTTATTAGATTTACTGTAAGTATCAGCTCTGCTCCTTGTAGTTGTATTTGAATGCATTAAATAGTCATTGTTGAGCAGAGAGCTGTGGAGGTGGTAAAACTGTTAAACGTGCAGCATGAACAGCTGTAGAGATGTCGACTTTAGTCTGCTGTGAAGCTACTTTTTTGCCTCTGGTTGAATGTGGGTGCTGGGTGTGGTCAGAAAGTGCCAGACTTTAGCGCTTTGCAACCACACTCACAGATGTAAAAACTTTTACTCATTAATAAAAATCACATGTCATAACTACTCTTGGTGTTTGCTGCGTTAGATGCTCTGAGATATTGCTTGTCTGATCAAAAAAAAAGCATAATCTGAACAAGCCCATAAAACCGAAGATAACTGAGCTGTAAATGTCATTAGTTAATTATGTTATGTTATGTGGCAGGTTTTTACTGACTTTTCTACATTTTGCAGTCAGGTGATAGTTAATGTCAATAATCATTGTTTGCAGGAAACTCACCTGAAAGCAGGTCTGATTTTACTTGTACTTATTTGTACTCATTGTACAGTCATTGAAGGAAAAAAGATTGAATAAACCCTCCACCTTCTGACAGCAAAAAGGTGAAGAAACAATCCAAGTGATTATTCTGATAAATCTTCACAATAGTTGTGCAAAAGAATTTAGCTACTTGAGCTACTTTGTTTATTTTGTCTATTTTACATAACCATTATTAGAAACATTAGAAACTTTATGATTCAGAAAAAAGAAACCTGCACACATGATGACTTTAAAGTTCAGTTTTACAGTCATTTTCCAGGTAATGTTATAAATTCACAAAGCAACACAAAGTAGTACAGCTAGCGTGTCTGACAAAGTTAACAATAGCATTTTTATGTTGTGATGCACTTTCCAGGTTTTTTGCAACACGTAATATCGTAGGCTATCGTTAAATAGAAAACCCCATGCATTTTTACTTTTTTACTCATTTTTACTGTGATTTTACTGTATATTTCCAATATAGAGTGTGATTGTTTTACACTCTGGACTCATCAACTGTGGTGCTTTTGTTGTAGGCAATGACTCAATATTAGAGGTTACAGTAGAGACTAGTGCCATTGGAATAGAGATCAACTTCATTGTGATAGAGATGAGCTTCGTGGTTCACGGTGTCAGGCATCCTGCTATGCTGAGCTGGGTTCTTTGCATATATGGGATTAATGCTGACCTGAGGAAACCAAATAACATACATTACATTTCATTGCGTACGAGAGGGTATAATGTTAGTGAGATAAACCTGTCATGTACCTGCTGTTTGTTGTCTGATATTTCACTCTTTGGAGAATGACTAGAAGCCGTCTTTTTTCTGAGTGTCAAACACAAAAGGATATGACTGAATAACAGATTTCAAATCAGAGTTTGAACATGACTGATCTAAAAGAGAACACAGTGATGCTCACCTCCGGCAGCAGAACACAGTGAGAAGTATTATTATTATTAACAGGAGAGCTGCAA